ATAACTGTATACTCGGCTATCAGTGCTTTGCATTTCACATTTGCTATCTCATTCATTTTCATAAGAATCTTATAAAACTCTTTAAAGATAAGGAAACTTGCGTGCACCAAGTATAAATGAGCTTCTTAAGTTAAAACAGTGGGTGGAGGGACCATCCTTCAAACCTGGATATGTCCGTCTCCCAAATCCAGGTCCCCCCCCCTTTTTTTAAGATTGATTTATTTATTTGAGAGAGAGAAAGAGGGAGCATGGGGGGTGGAGGAGCAGAGGGAGAGGGAGAGACTCTCGCAGACTCCCCACTGAGTGTGCAGGCTGATGCAGGGCTTGATCAAAGGACCCTGAGATCACAGCCTGAGCTGAAACCAAGAGTCAGATGCTTAATTGACTGTGCCACCCAGGCACCACAAATCCAGGTCCTTTTCATTAGCACATTGCCACCTAACTTGGCATTTTCAAGCTACATCAGACTGAATTTACTCATTTATAAATAGAGATTAAGTGGCTGTTCTCATCAGACAGACCCAGTTGGAATTGCCTTATCTGGACAGTCCCCTTGGCTTTGATGTCCTTGCCCCACTTCAATCATTGTAACAACTCAGAAACTGATTTAACATCTTAAAATCCTTCTGTGTGGAGTATTTTCTAACCCTTCTGAAGAAATCACAATACTTCTCTAATTGGTATATGTGAAACTTGAGAGTTTCTACCAGAATATGGGGTTAAAGCTATATGTACTGAAGTAGAAATAAGAGTCATAAATGATAGGCCACTGTAACCTTTGATGTTGAGAGTGAGTACCTATCAAAAAGGGAGGGTGGACCTGCAGTCAGATTAGCCATGAGGTAGAAGCAGCAAGGAGCCATTTGCCAGTGGAGTTTAGGTGGGACCTCATGCTATTGAGTGGAACACACAGTTCAAGGGAATGATCAGAGTGCAAAGCAATAGATATCTAGTTGAGGACCAGGAAATCAAGGCTAAGACAAAAAAGTCCCTTGAACTTGAAATGTGTCCTAGAGAAGACAAGAGACAGATTCTGGAAATTTAAAGAAGTTAGGAACAGACATCCCCCCCCCCCCCCCCCCCCCCCCCCCCCCCCCCCCCGTTAGAGGATTCCATAATGAGAGGTGGGCCCTGAGGCCAAGAACATTCGCAGGCTTTACTGCAGGACAGGAGAGAGCTGAGTATAGGGAGGGACAGCTCTGCATACTAAAAGCTACTTTAAGAAACTCAATTTTTTCTAATGCTATATTCTTGCCTGGGATATTTTCTCTTATAAAAAAACCAAAACAAAACAAAACAAAGCCTTGACTGTGCATGCATGCTGAACTGTGTTGGATGAAGTAAAAGGAAGATGGAATCCTGGGCCAAAGAGAAGCCTAATCTCGGGGTTAAGACCACAAAGCAGAGTCATTAGCATCTTGACCCCTGAGCATTTGTGGGGGCCTCAGGAGATCAGCTTCCAGTAGGAGTGCCTGGTTTCCAGGGCCCCCCTGGATTAGACCTCATCTTGAGAAGCCCCTTTCTGGCACAACAAAACTGTTCTTCAGAAAACACTCATCCACAGAGGAGACACAGTGTCTCCAGAAAAGGCGGGGGGCGGGGGGTTGGGGTGGATGGCACTGCTGGCTGGATCTATTGTTTTTATCTGACTAATGAGTTGGCAATTAATATTAAATAATTTACAGCATAATTTACTTCTTCATTTTTTTCCACCTTCTGCCCTGTTTTATACTAATACATACACACTTCACTTTAGCAATACCTATAAAAGATGAGCTCTAATGGACATAATGTAGCTATGGTGTCACATTAGGCCTTTTATTACATGAAATTTGATTATGGGTCATAAATTATGTATTTATCTTGCATTAAGTGATGAAAGTAACTCGCTAATTAGAAGAAATCAAAGTTATTGACCTATAGTGAATCTCTTCTACATTTACTGTTGGCATAAAATAGGATATCATGACATGAATACAGATGCATATTTATTTTATTACTAGACATATATCTTCTTTTTTAAAAGTTTCTGGGAAAATAAATGTAGACCACTGCTCTTTGGGAGAATTTATGAGAGATTTATTTATAATTCAGATTTATTATCTTTTCAGGTTATGAAGTTAGGTTGCCTCCCAGCTACAAACCCACTCTTCTATATACTCTAATGGTCTGTGATGCTGGGGCATCTTTGCAAACTACATTTCTTCTTGTTAGCTGGATTTCTGATTTGTTGTGCCAAGAGCAGGAGGGAGCCTGGAGGACAAGGTGAAAAAAGAGGTATTTCCTCTTTCCTTAGAGTGCCCAACAATGATCTTTACCAACAATATTTGGCTTGGTCTCCATTTCTTATCTTTACTTCTAGAATAGCCTCATGTACTTTTGATAAGAATTAGCCAGCTGGGCAGCATCTTCCTCAAAGGACTGAGTTCTAGGTCCACGACACTCTTCTCCAAGCTCCTGAGGTACCAGCAGCCGCAGGACAGGGCTCCCTTCTCAGAGGTCTGAGTTCCAACTCTGAAGGACCAAACTCCTGTGAGTCCTGAGATGCCAGTTCCACCACACAGCAAACCCTTCCTGCACCCCCACACCGGAAGCATGCATCATAAATCCACAGGGCCCCTCCCCCAGCTTCTAGGTTCTGATAACTCTATTTTTTCGCCTTTATTTCTCCAGGCCTAGGGAGTGGTAGCTGCTTCTTGAATGTACTACTGTATTACTTTAGCGTTCCCTTTCACTTTTTATTGCCCCAAACCTTTGTAACCAACTCTTTCTCTCTTTTTTTAAAGATTTATTTTATTTATTTATGAGAGAGAGAGAGAAAGAGCACGTGAGTGGGTGTGGGGGGGTGAGTAGAGGGAAAAAGAAACTTAAGCAGACTCCACAATGAGCGCCGAACCCCACCTGGGTCTCCATCTCACAACCCTGAGATCATGACCTGAGCCAAAATCAAGATTCAGCTGCTAACTGACTGAGCCACCCAGGTGCCCCTAACCGACTCCCTTTTTGAAGTTTTTCTCTGCTGTAATACCTAAAGTTGTTTCTGTTTTCTTTCTGTGGACCCAGACTGAGCATAGTATGCATATATCAAAAAGCTCCCTCTAACATAATTAAACAATGCCCAAAATTAACAACTTTGATCTAATATTTAACAGCTTTGTTGTTGTTGCTTTTATTGTTAGTTTAAATGGAACAGAGCACAGAACTAGGGAAGCCATCTTTAATAATTGGCTTGTTTACATCTGGGAACTCATTTGGATCTTGAACTTTCTTTATTTTTATTACTTTTTTTATTGATACATAAGACAGATATATATGAAACAAGCATAGAAAGCATTAATCTTAGATTTATAGCTGGATTAATTTTATATATATAAGCCCAGATATATATATATATCTATATATATTTATATAGAGATATATCTATATATTTATATATATCGATATATAGACCCAGATCCAGATGTAGCTCATTTCTAGCACCAGAGCCTTCAATTTCATAAGAACTCTCAATAGCAGATCATTCTTTATAGGGAGAGAGCAAAGGAGAACACTCTCATGTTAAGGCCCAGGATAGAGCATTTAGTGGTATTAATACAAGGCTAGTAGTTTAATCATTTTAAATAAAAATCATAACTGATGGGGCCCCTGGGTGGCTCAGTTGTTTAAGCATCTGCCTTTGGCTCAGGTCATGATCTCTGGGTCCTGGGATCAAGCCCCATGTCAGGCTTCCTGCTCAGCAGGCTGTCTGCTTCTCCCTCTCCTCCTCCCCACTACTCGTGCTCTCTTGTTCTCTCTCTCTCTCAAATAAATAATAAAAAAAATTATAACTGATATGACTGCTCTTCCCTCCCCACTATAAGTTAAATAACTTTGTTGATATCTCATGGCCATAGAGTTTAGGTACATCAAGTTGTGTTATCAAGGGAAATCATGAAATATCATCCATTCTTTTACTCAGAAAAAACTTTTAAAACATCTCCTTTGTGCCAAGCAACTGGTTAAATATTAAGGTTATCCAGATGAATCCAACATGGTCTTTGTACCTGAGTATAGTTTCAGTCAAGTGGCAAATATATTCACCTAAAGACTGGTACAGATTAAGTTTGACAGGGATAAGAAGAAGGAAAGAAAGAAGGATGTTATGGGGCCGTAAGTTCGGTGCTTTCCAGGCAAGAAGAATAGGGAATGTGTCTTTTAGAAAAAGCATGTTCAGGAGCAATACAAAATTTAGAATGGTAGTGCATCAGGAGAAATGTGGGCTTAGAAGAGAGAGAGCACTAGGAGGTTTGGAACTCAGGAAATCCACGAAAATTTTTAATCCAGAAGGCCTTCTTTTTTTTCCCCTCTCTTGTTTTATTTTTAGGAAAGTAATACTGGATGCAGACTGGATGCAGACTTTAGGGGGCAAAGGGACTTAATGGTTAGGAGATTGATAGATTTTTGTTAGCTTAGCTGAGAGATAAGCCTTGAACTTACTGGGAGTAACAACAATGAAGAAATAAGGCCAGATTTAAGAGGTTTCTGGAGAATTTTGGAACTCAGAGATTTTGGTGATAGAATCAATGCAGAGAATGAAGGAAACAGAGGAGTTAAGTATCCCTGGGGTCAGGGAGTGGACCATTAGCAGAGATTAGAAATTGAAGGAAAGCAATGATTTCTATTTTTGATTTGTTCTCCCTGAAATACCTTCTAAACACATGAGTTGATATGTTCAGTGACAACTGGACATGCAGTTCTGGTGCTTAGAGGGAAGGCCAGAGATCAAAATAATATGTTTAGGAAACAGCATCAGGAAGGAGGATAAAGGAGTTCACCCAAGGAAAGATCATGAGTTAGAAAAGTAGGAAACTACTACAATTTAAGACTAAGGAAAAGAGAGAAGAACCAGCAAAAGTCACAGAGAAGGAATATTCATCGAGGCTGGAGAAGAACCTTTAAAGTGTGATGTTTTGTGTTAATACAGAGGCAGTATGGCTGGATGATTCAAAGCGTGGATCTTGGAGACAGACAACGTGGGTTTGACTCCATTCGTTGCCACCTAACATTGTGTGACCCTGGACTGGGTACACTCAGATTCCTCAGTATAAAATGGTGTAATGGTAACTACTTCCTAGGGGAATGGAACTACTTTGTGAGGAAGCAGTACATTAATACATGAAAAATACTCAGAACAGAGTTTGGCACATAGTAATAAGTGAGAATAAGCATTAGCAATTGTTATGTACCAGAAGTTCAGCTTTTGCTATTCATCTCAGAAGGTCTTCCTTATATAGCTTTTAATGCATTATAATATAAATTATGAGGTACTATATCAACCCAAAGGGGATTAGACTTAATTTAATTGCATTATATCAAAGTACCATTGTGTGAATGTTTGCTTATTTTGTAGACCATTAAGTTATTTGTCATCTGTTATGCCTCCTTAGTTTTTGTTTATCAAACCATATTTAATTTTTCTAACCTTTAAAAAATAAATCATTTTTAGTACTGTACTTTATTCTTATAATTCCTTTCTGGATGCTTTCTATTCTGTTTACATCCAACTGGTAATAATATACTACTTTGAATAATGGTAAGAGTTTGTACTCACATCACATCCTTTATGAAAGGATTTCCAAAAGTTCTCCATGAATTATTTATTTTAACTGCAGGATAGTTAGGAAAGTAAATGCTTAGTATTTCCATTTTACAGATTTTTTAAAAAATGAGGACAGAGCTGGAAAATGATGTTTTAAAACTCAGAACAGTCGAGGGAGCATGGTGTCATTATATGGAGGTGCACTGAAAAGTTGGCTATCCAGAAATCAAATTTCCAGAGCCATAGAATTTTCAGACAAAGAAATGATTTTTAAGGGAAATGAAAGTATTCATCACATATCAGACTACCCAAATGATTACAGCTGTGACAGTCAATGGAAAAAACAAACAAACAAACAAACAAACAGGAAAAGCAAGAAAAAGGGAGAAGGAAGGCTGATAGGTCAGCAGCAGAGGCAGAGATACTATTTGTTAGAAAACAGTAAGCAAAAGGCAGATTAAATTAAAAAGCAAGCATTTGTCATTATGGGGTCTTCATGACTCCGGACCAGATTAGACAGGTTGGAAAGGTTCTAGAGACCTGGTAAACTCATCAGGAGATCCAAATACCCAGCGAGAAAGCAGGTAAGGCAGGCTGGGAGTGGGTATCAGAGTGTGACAATTAGTGAAGAAGGGAGCGTGCAACACCACTACAGTCCAGGAAGGGCTGAGCATCGGTCTGGGCAATAACTGTCGGCAGTCTGGACTTGGATCAGCCAAGAGGACCCGGGTGCAGTGGCACGGTGCCTGTGACAGGAGTGATCAATTTATCGAAGATAAGAGAGGCTCCTAAAGTGTTTTCAGGATTTGATGACTAGAACCAATTTACTTTTTAGAGAAAGTCCTGTAGCAAGGCTGGATTGAATAGTTACCATACCACCTGTTGGGATGAGTTATAAACTCTTTGTTCTGAATGGCAAAGAACCTGGCATTATAAGAGTAAGTGATCTTGTCTTTAAATATTTGGGGCTGGGAATGTTCATTCCAAGAATGAAAGAGGGAAAAAAAAAACCAGATTTATAATTTGGCAATCAGTGGGGCATGGGAGAAAAAGGGAAAGAGCTAAGGGGTGAAGGCACCGTCTCCCTCTATGGTGACAAGCTAAGTAACGACATAGTATGGAAGCCTGTTTGTCAGGTATGCAAGGGCTATGCAATCACAGCAAATGTAGCTGAGAAGCCTTTCTATAGGAGAGGGGAGAAAGAAGTTTCCAAAATTATCCACTTAGAGTGTCAGAGATAGAACCCATTGCAGATATTCTCTATTCTAATACACAAAACTACTATAGCCTACACCAGAAAACCCTAATTTTAAAGGAAAAAAAAATGAATATTTGTCCTTGATTTTAAAAAAGGAAGTTTGGTAAAATGTTGACAGAAAAAGAAAACATTGGTTCATGTACTGAGACCATTTTAGTAAAACCCTTTGCAGATTCTTAGTATTCTAAAATTATTATATATGTATATATATATGACATATATTAAGTATCATTATAATACATATACATGTATGTAATAGTCAAAATGAGAACTTCATATTCTTATTCCTTATGAGTTACTCTTGGTAAATAGTTTGAGAATGCTCTTACCTCAAATTCAATGCTTATTTAATATATTTTTAAAATTAAAGACATAAAAATGCTATTGATTGAATGTATACTTTATAACAGGTAGTTTGGAGTGTCTAATATAAATGCAGAGTTAGAAGAGTAGATGTAATTCTTGAACATGATGCAGGAGATACAGACTGAGGAGTCCTATCTGTTCCTCTGGGAACAGTTCCCTGATCCACATTCCAGGTGGTTCCAGTAGCACATCAAGCATGTGCTTGGCCATCCAAGCACATGGATAACCAGGGGTCCCAAATCCTTCATTGGGACTGCATTCTTCTAGCAAGTGGGACTGGTTAAAAGTTAGGGAGTGAGACTCAAGCAGGACCAAACAGGGTGACTCCCAGGAACTGGTATATTATTGTCAGAGAAAGAATTTCTCCTTCTGCAGGAGTTGCTAAACGAGGACGTCATGTGGGGTTCTTGGCCTTCATCTTGTCCTTCATAAAGAGAAGCATATCTGCAGCTGAGAGAATGAAGCTCACATGAAGAAGAAAGCAAGAAAACAGCAAAGAGAGGGACAAGATGGAGGAGGGGCCAGAGCCCAGGAACAGAAGATGAACATGAGCATGACTCTGATCCACTGTCTGGAAATGAGATCGTTGCCTTAATAAAAGTTCGAGAAAGCAAAAGATGTTGACCAAATTACTTATGTTTTGGGAAAATCAAATATTGATACAGGTATAGTATTAGAAAGCCAGGAATAGCTGGCAAAAAAATAATGACCAAATCATGATTTTATATTTTCATGGAAGACTTATTTTTAGCAACCGCATATGGTGGTACTACGTTAATGAGTATTTCAAGCGTGGCATATTTACAAACTAGAGTTTAAAATCTTTTAGCTTGATACGTACTTCCAACAGGAATTATATAGTAAGGTAAAAACAAACAAACCAACACTATACATTAAGGAATTGTAAAATTAACCACCATGGAAGACAGTTACTACTCACCAAATAGCACTGTGGTCTCCCACCCTCCCCAGGCTCCCTGCAGAGAGGGGACAATATGAGGAGGTCAGACTGCTGATGGGAGTGGAGGAAGTGGTGTGGATCGCTTCTGTGCTGAAGCATTCGACAACCAGTGCTGGACCCTCCAGCTCCCTCTTCCTCCGCCACAGTGACCGTGGAGATTACCCGCTGAGACTGGGGATCCACCTGGTGGAAGCATTTTTCATTGCTCAATGACCACACAGAGGAGGGTGGCTCCCAAGGGTCCCAGCAGGCTTTGCATGACTGAGAAATAAACCTCTGCTCTGCTAAGCCACTGCAATTTGGGGGTTGTTTTTTTTTACCACAATGTAACGTAGTCTCTCTTTGCTAATATTTCCCTTTTTTATTTCCCATTTCATTTTGCTGATGGGGTTTCGTTCAACAATATCCAAGTAAGGCATTTCCAAAAAGAAAAGGTCCAAAAACAGAAGTGCCATTTTGGAAATATAGATGTGATTTATGAAAATTCTATTTTCGAGGAATCACATATATGCTTATGGTTGTCAAATGTTTAATAATTAATTACTGATCAATCTCTGCATATTATATTTTAACAAGACATATCTTATTAAAGGTAAAATGAAACATTTTAACATTCACTATAAGTTATCCATTTTCATCTTAATCCAGGTTTTCTTTTGGTAGTATAAGTCAAAATGTTTCCTTCCTTGGGAACATGAACTTTTTTCCTACTGATTTATTTTTTCCCATTCACTACATTTATAATGATGATACGTATATACAACAGCATCAGGGTACTGATGATTTTGCAGCTAATAACTATTTTAATTTTTTATGTCTCAGTAGACATATAAAGCATTATGTTTTCCATCAATAACTTCACCAATTATTTTCCAATTATTCTGCTCAAATTATACACGTATGTAATAAAAATAAATTAACTATGGCATCAATTGATTATTCCTGACTAATTTTTCCCAATAAAATATTTACCAGTGTTTACAAAGGGGATATGATTTTGTGCCTGAAATTTTACAAAAAGTGTGCTGGAAAGAGCTTCTTGCTCACCAATTTCCAAATAACTAAGTTTTTGTTACTAACTATAGTGCAAAAATATCAAATTCACAAGCTGGCAAGTAATAATAACTGATAGGAGAGCCAAATTATAGAGGTCTTCATGTGAGGAAGGAAAAATAAAGGTCTTCAACTGTGTAGCTGGGGCAATTTTTCAGTTTCAAATTTCCAAAGTGGAATAATGAGTAGGAGAAGCAACTCTTGTCACTACTTAGGTTTTCAAATTGATGGATGTAAGCAAACCCTTACTAGGATGAAAATGCATTTGTTGTATAACCAGACTTATAGACATAAAAGCCACAACCGTTCTGCTTTCCTTCCCTCACCACCTAAATTTCTTCTAGCGTCTTAATTGTGCAGGCTTACTAATTAACATGAACATTGGCTAGAGTGGCCCCAGCTCAATACCTTGAGTATTTTCTTGAATAAACATTCAGACTGCAGATCTTTCCATGAAACTCCCTATAGAATTTGTATGTTGACAGGTTTTTCCCACACATCCCCAATCTAAAGCTGGCTCCTATTCAGTGAAAGCAGTCCAGTATAGTAATGGCTCGGGAACACTTCAGAGCCTTGGACAAGACCAGTGTTCCCCAAAATAAATGGAGCAAGAAAAGGGGCACCTTTTCAAGCTCTGCAAATTATATTTATCTGTAGTTGAAGGTAAGTAGAGTCAAACCAAGAAAAATTAAGTACACAGAGCTTCAGTCTCAGTCTGTTTTTTCTGTGCCCCACTCTGTGATGCTTCTTTCCAAACGTGTGCCTTGCAAAACCCTTGCCTTGGCAAAGTGGATTTTAGATCTTCTGCCTATTCTGACTGGAAGCTCCCAGAAGGGACTCTTCTTTCCCAATAAGCCCTTTTCTACCTCTGAAAACCGTACTCATCTTTTAAAGCCTTACTAATTTGTTTATTGGAAGAACCAGCTCCCGAATGTCGTTCTGTAAGGCCTCTGATAATAAGGATGAATAAATGAAAGGCAATTCCTCTCTTCAAATAACAATTGACTGGTGAAGACGGATACAAACCAATATGTGAAATATAATGCAGGATATTTCATGGGCATGACATACAAAAGATATCACAGAAGCACAAGAAGAGGGAGCTAATCCAACCTGAAGAGGTTCTCAATGAAGTCTTCCAAATCACCCACCATCAAATAAGTGCTTCTTGCTCCTCTACTTTCCCTACATAATTTTCCTTGTGACAGCGTGTACTGTGATTAAGAAACTGATTCTGAAGCCAGCCAGCATGGCTTCAGATCCCAGCTCTGCCACTTACCTAACTTTGTGATTGCAGGAAGTCACCCCTTCCTCTCTACACATTAATGTTTTCATCCACCTCATCTCTAAAATGGAATAATAACAGCACATATCTTATGGCAGCAGTGTGAGGATGCATTGGGTTAATAATACATTTACAACACTCTGTTAGGACAGTGACTGGAATTTAGTAAATAATCAATATTGGCTAAAAGTACATCATTTTTTCCTCTGCAATTAGAGATTGTTGTTAGTGTAACTGTAATCTTTAATAAATTATAATTTCCTTTGGGGAATCTCTCTGTGTTGCCAAAATGCAAATGGCAGGGAGTCAATAACTGCTTCTTGATCAGTACTTTCCCTGCCTACATTTCTGGATTCTTCTCTTTTGTGAAATCTCATTTATTTGTATTTTCCCTCCATTCCTGGCAGTATTACAGTACCAACTTTCCTTTGAACAGGTTCCGAATGATGGCTAGGGCCTGAATGAAGCATCTGCTCCTGTTAACAGTTTCTTCTGTGGGGGCATGTCCCACCTTTGCAAGAAACTTTACCACACATAACCCCCCACCCACCCCTGCCTTGAATCTACTTTCCTGTGACCCACCCCCTTGGTTTTCCAAGTTTACAAGTTGTTCAGCAATAACCCCAGTTCTATCAATCCAGACATCTTTTTCTGGGCTCTGGGTTCTCCCCCTCCCCATCCTCACCCTTCAGTATGAAATTTCCTTCATTACTACTGTTTTACTCATTGTTGAAAAGTATCTGTACTGGTAGTATAGGTGGAGGATGGCAACATGTAAGCATGGTTGGCAAACCCTTACTCTAGAGTATTGGTTATGGTTGAAGAAGTAAACATTTCTAACTTCAGCTCTTGGCCTCAATTTCGTTCCATTATGTCTTTGTATATTATATACCTTTTTGGGATTATAAATGAATGAGACTTGTTTTACTGCCATCAACTAAGAGTTGAGAAGTTAAGTTGGTTAAATTATATGGGTTGCTTCTCAAATAAATGATCTAGCATGTGTTTTGAGGAATGGATGACATATATAAGGGAAAATTTAAAGAAATTTTGTAACCCTAGAATGACATGAACTATATGGAATTCTGTTCTTTTGAATAAATCAGGACCATTAGTAAATAAATATCAGACGATAATTGTGTTTGCAAGTACTGACATCATATGAATGGAGGGCACCAATGGAAGTGGCTCTACATAGACCTGACCAAGGTGATCTACAGATGGTTGTCTCTCCACAAACCCATAAGTGGGGACTTAACAAATTAATGACTTGCTACTGACTCCTAATAGTCCTTGGGAAGGTGAGGTAGGAAGACAGGGATGATTTGAGAATAAATTTGGGAAGCATATTGGAACTCTGAAAACATGGGGAGGAAAGTAAACATTTGAGAATAGAAGTTATTTTTTATGATCTTTTCTTAAAATTTATGGTTAAAATATTGGAAAAGATACATGACTGGTTAGAGAATGGTTAGCTGCACAGGAAGTGTGATGTTTATAGGATTTTAATTTCTGGAATGTTGCATAGGCTACCAGAAAGACAGACCCTTGAGGAGACAGAGTATATCATTTTTGTGAGATTCAAAAACAGTGTATTTGTCCAGAGAATGCCTGATATGACCATAAATAATTTAAACTGAACATGGAGGGGGGAGATGAATAAAATCCCACATTATGTTGTGAAATTAATTACAAACTGAGCACATTATGAAGTTAAATGCAGTATAGAAACCACAATATAACCAAGTAATAATAAAAGTAAATATTATTGCCGTTCATTGAATGGTTAATATTTCCCAGGAACTTGAAAAATACCTAATTCAATATTCCAATGTCCCTTTGAGGTAGGTAATTATTGCCTCCAATATACAGGTTGTTTCAAATGATGCTTAATTGATTTACATCACTTACTAAAACTCTCATAGCTAGCAAATGGTGGAGATAGAATTTGTTTTAGGGGGAAAAAAAAAAGCTTGTTCAGAATGAATGGGTGCAGTCCCCATCCTGACACTTCGGGTCCTTCTCTACACGAGGAAGCCCAGCGCCAGTCTGTGTCGGGGTAGAAACAAGAAACACTGAGTGGGTGTTTCGTCAAAGACCGATGAAACTCAGAATACCCAAACTCAAAAGCTTTAACTTCCCATCACTGGCTCTACCTGCTTCATTTCGGTTTTAATAGTTCTTGAACCAGGACTTCTTCAGGACGTTCAGTGGGGGCACGAACAGAACGGAACCATGCAGCTGAGAACAGCTGGTTCCCAGAAGCCCTTCCCAGTCTGCACC